TTAATTCTTTATTATATAATAATTAATTTAATTAAATAAAAATACATATTAAATTTAATAATACAAAAAAAATTTATTCTCTTTTCTTTCCCTGTTGAGCTTCCTCAAGAGAGGAAGCTAGTCGTTTACAGCTTTCATTATTACTTCTCTCATTATTCCTTTCATCTTCACTATCATTATTACTATCACTTTTATCAGTCTTTTTGAGTTCTTCACTCTCACTTATTACTTCATCCTTCTCGACTACTTCATCTTCTTCGATTACTTTATTTTCTACGATCACTTCATCTTCTGCAATCACTTTAGCCTCCTCAATTTCTTCAGCTTTAGCTACAGCCTAATCAGGAATATTGTCTAGCTGATCAACTCTTAATATTTCTACAGTCTAGTGCAGATGTTTATACTAGGGTTCTATAGCCTAGTTGAGAATATTATGTAAAAGTTCTGATAACTAAATATAAAAAATATAAACTGACTTAAATTAAATTATATAACAATAGTTAATTCAACTCCAAAACTAATTTAATTCTGTATACAGAATTAAATCAGTTTTGAAGTCAATATTTAAAAAGAATAACTAATATATATACCTTGGATAACCTCTAGGAAAGGTCATTGATGTTAATGTAAAGATTTCCCTTATTATTCCTTTCACCCAATATGTTAGATAATTTGAATGAGTAAACTTCATTATTTACTAACAACTTTTTTGCTTTTTCAACATTATATCCTTTAATATATTCATCTTTCTTTATGTAAAAGGACTTAAACACTCTGGTATGTCAGACTATTTTCTATAAAATTAAAAAATTTATTTTAAAGTTATTGTTATTTCATAATTCTGAAATACCTAAAAAATTTTTCTTTCCCAAAATCTCATCGATTTCAGGATCAATGAGATTCTGGAAAAAAAATTTTTTTAGATATTCTAGAATTATTAAAATAGCTGTAATAAATTTAGAAGAAAAAAAATTATACATCAGCTTGCTGATAATTTTGGTATATTCTTTCATTGAAACATACACTATAGACTAGGTCTTAGCGAAGTGACCTAGTATTTCTGATCGATTTGAGGCATTGTTGAAGAATATTACTGATTTCTGTTCTATCTGTATTATATTTCTTGCCTAAAAGTTTACATAATACAGGGACTGTATTTTTTATCAGGTGGTCCTTTTGTTTGAGCCAGGTCTTATCATAATTGATGTTATGTTTATCATCCTTTTCTTTTAATATATAAAATAATTCTTTCTATTTAAGAAAATTAAGAATTATAATGATAAGTGCTGCTAAGGGAAAATCTGTAAGTAAATATTTATCACTAATTATATTAAAAATAATACTATTAGTAATAACTTAAATATTTACTTACAGATTTTCTCTTAGCAGTACTCATATCAATAAATACCTGAAGTTCCTTCTTTTGAGTCATCTCATCTCTAAATGCTAATTGAGATATTTCCTCTCTATTCGGTCTTCGTTGAGCACTTTTGGACAATTCAACAATATTTTCTTTTTCCTATTTGAATTGATTTCAAGATTGCTGACAACTCAAAACATGCAATACACTGACTTCATCAGTTAATGACAAAAAGGATTCTGATAATATGGTAACTATATCAGATAAATATAAAAAATTATTTTGAAAAGAATGAATTTCATTCTATAATAGAAGGTTTTCTAGAATTAAAAAAAAAAATAATAGTAAATTAATTATTAAAAATATTTTATATACAAATAAATATAAATGTCACCAAGTGAAAACCAGAAAGTCAAAAAATAAATTAATTTATTTTTCAACTTCTTGGTTTTTACTTGGAGACATTTATATGTATCTTCTTCTAATCTTCGATTTCTTTTGACTAGGTTAAATTCTTTTTCTTTCTATAAGTTAAAAAAAGTAAGAGGTATTGATTCCCTATTGATACGAGGTAATTGTGTGAGTTAGCTTTGAGATTCAGAAGGTGCAACAGATTGTCTTAATTACTGAAATAATTCACCTAAGCTAGACTTAGTAGAGATAGATTAGGAAGAAGTAGATCTTGGTTAGATAGTTGAATGAGTAAAAGTAGAAATGAAAGAAGTTTGTTAGAGGAAAATGATATAGTTGTATTAGATAATAGTGAAAAGGAAAATGAAATATAACCAATATCCATAGCAGATAAAGCATCTGCAGCACATGAAGAAGTCAAAGTTTATACATCGCAATCTACAACTTCTGATCAAAGGCAAGTACTTCACTTCAATATTAATGAACAATTTGAAGTATCGATAAATGAATTTGATCGCGAATAGTGGCTACTTGTTACAAATGTATAGACAAGGTTTAGTTATAGAAACTACACTAATAGTAATTCTTGGAAGGCATTTATATACTAATTTATGAAATACAATCATTCAAGTAGTTGAAAGGAAGGAATTCCTGCTGAGAAATGTCAAAAAATGAAGATCTGCTCACCAAATCTTTGCTTTGCAAAAATCCAGATGTTATATTTTGTTAATACACAAAAAGTGTAGATTGAATGATATAATAAAAGCCCTATTCATAAATATATGCTTGATGAAAGTGAAAAACTAAAGCGTTCAAAAGTAGTACATAAATTAATCAAAGAAGAAGCAGCCAAAAACTACCTACCACTTGTTATTATGAATGTGATTAAAGACTATGCAACTAGGATGTTGGACCTGGGCTTGAGTGTTAAGAAGCTAAAATGTACTGAGGTTACAAACATTAAATACAAAGTTTGTGAGGTGCAAAATAATCATTTAGGAGGTAATAAAGATAAAAAATCTGATCTAGAAGAAAGTATCCTTTTTTTAAAAAACCAAGATTATCATATTGAACATTATGTAACCTCTAGTCAGTCTACTTATGGCCTGGTCTTCATTCATCCCCTTCATATTATCAAACATCTTCAAATGTCATCAAATATCTTCAAACGTAGTTAAGCATAGTTAAGGATTTTCTAAATACTAATAACTCTATAACTACTTATCTAATTCTTATAAATTATAGCTTGTTATGATTA